TATATGATCATACATGACCATATAGAATCATGCACCCTGTCATACATGGAGTTTTCTCATGGGTTGTTGTATTTAAGGAAACCATTTTAATTTACATTTATTTTATTTGAGCCTTGTTGAAGCCCAAAAAGTTTGACATTTTTCAATGCCTAGAACATAATTCAGGACTGAAAGGGTTAAAAATGTTCAATTTCATGCTTTAAATGTCTGTTCAAGTTAGCGAGTGACCTCTAAACTAAAAAAAAAATAACTCATCTCTATGGTCAAACATGAACCATATCACCCATTTTGATGATTAATTATTGAAACTGAAACACCTTGTTTGGCTATTACCCTCATTGATCATAACTGCCTCAAATCTGTAATTTCTGGCTATGAAAGGGTGAGTGACTACCTCAAAATATTTTATTTGTGCTCACTTCCCTGCCTGCTGGATGCTAATGGTTTTCCTTAGTGACCTGTATGTTCTTGAAGTTTGCTTAAACCATGAAAGCCACAGGGGATTTGTAGTCTATGCCACACACTAAAATTTCTAGCGTATTTTGTCCCATACTTTGGGATAAAATGTTGGGTAGAGTAAGATATCATGGTTCTTCCTTTCTTCCTGTTGGACATAATATTGAGTCATCACTGAAAAAAAAAATTGCAATACCCAGTGTTACCAGTATCAATATTCTTGGATTGGGAGGACAATATTATTAACACTGTGGTCCAAACCAATAGAGTACTAGTATTACTCAAGTGTAACCTGTGTAATGCTTGCAAGGAAACCAGGGCAGCAACCAGGGCTCTTGTTCATCCCAATCTGGAGTATCTAGTAGGCTTTTGGGACCATTTCAAGGTGAGCAACATGCAACAATTAGACAAAGTACAAAATCAAGATGTATGCTATATGCACAATGACTAAAACTGGCAAGTCAAATTCAATGCTATTGGATGGACGCTTGAATAGAAGATCTTGGACAGTAGGTAAAAAAATGCCAGATTTGGTTCTCTATCATAAAATCATGCATAACATTTTCCTATTTGATACTAGGAGTTGTTTCAATGGAAAGCACTATGCATCAAGGAAAGGCATGCAGAGCTTGTCTCTACTTAGGTTTTGAATAAGAGCTGGAGAATAGGTTTTCTTTAGGATGATAGTGAATTGGGGTGCACTTCCCTTACAGTAAGGTCTCTATTTACTGGGGTTAGTGGCCGAGAGAATCATGCTTCCAAGTCAAGTCTGGAAGGCCGGGGCTTGGGTTCATGTGGTGATGAGTTCTTCTCCCCCTACAGGCAACCCACTTACTCTTGGGGGAGTGTATGTTTAACAATTTCGCTGCCGAGCCACTTTTTGGAGGTCGTTCCCCTGGAGCCAAGGTGATGATCCAGAAAGGATCGCAGATAAAAATTTACATCCCATCTGCTTCCAAACATTTTGAAACATTAGAAGGGTGTGTAGCCAGTTCTATCTGACCGGATGTAGTGAGCTTTGGCAGGGAAGGTACGCACTGCTCGGTGCTGCTCTTTCAATTCCCATGCACTGTCATTTTGTTCCTTGTGTTAGAAAGAGTTTGTCGGGCCAAAATAGCTTGCAGTAATTTCACAATTCTTCTCCCTGGTAGGTGGGTGGGTACCTAAGTTGTATGATCTCTATAGGTAGCGGAAATTCATAATAAGTTTGCTGGCATCACTAAAGAAATAATTATTTTTAGATCGATTAGGCTGGAGAGAAATGTTGAGGAAAAAGAGCAGACTTCTCGAAAAAGATGTGGACCGACTACTGGAAAGTGACTCGTCTGAAGATAGTGATGGTAGCATCGGAGATTCCAATTACGAACTACTACCATCATCTGATGAAGATGGCGATTCAAGCATTGCCGAGATGAGTACAGATAGTGATCATGAGTTGACTGCTCATGGTGGGATCTCTGGTGATGGTAGCTGGCATGCAGTTAGTGCCACCCATAAAAACACCTATTCCTTTTCTGAGCAGGTAGAGGCAGGTGGGGAGATGTTTGATGGAAACTGTTCTCCTGTGGACGTGTATAAGCTACTGCTTACTGATGATATTCTCACCCTCATTACAACTGAAACCAACAGAAGAGCAGACCAAACTTTGAGTTCTGGTCTCAGGTGCTCACAGATGTTGTCAAATTGGGTTCCTACTTGCAATGAGGAAATAAGTGGATTCATCGGGCTATTGATGTGGATGGGTTTGGTTAGATATCCAACCATTTCCAAGTATTGGAGCAGGAGGAAAATGTTCTGAAACATTGTAGCACCGAAAGTTATGTCTCGCAACAGGTTTGAGTTGCTTTTGAAACTTTGGCACTTTTCAAACAATGATGAGGCTCAGGAAGGGGATCGCCTACATGAAGTGGCTACTCTTGTCAATATGATTGTTGAGCGTTTCCAGAATCTCAAAACACCAGGCGCAGTAATAACAGTAGATGAATCAATGATTCCGTTTTGCAGACGATTGAAGTTCAGGCAGTATGTGCCTGGAAAGAGACCCAAATATGGGGTGAAAATGTTCAAGGTTTGTGACAAAGAGGGGTACACTTATGAAGTGTCAATTTATCACAGGAAGTCTGAAAAAAAAGTGTTGTCTGGGACATATGCAGTCATGAAATTGTGCGATCGGTACCTGGAGTCTGGAAGGGTAATAGTAACTGACAACTTCTACATGTCTCTTGAACTCACCCACAAATTACTAGAAAAGAAGACACGCCGCAATGGAATCTTGAGAAAAATCGCAAGAGTTTGCCAAAGAGTGTCATCTCAGCAAAATTGAAAAGTGGGGAGATCTTTGGGTTGGAAAGCAGGGATGGGATTGTTGTTTATAAGTGGAAAGACAAGAGAGACGTGCTGATGTTGTCCACGTGTCATGGCTTGGAGATTGAGACCATAGAGCGTATATAGACTGGAGGGGCGCATCCCGTGCTGCGAGGCAGGCACGGACAGTCCTCGTGGCTGCCATCTTGGGATTGGAGAAGCACTCCCTCTCCCATCTGATTCTATTGCGGAATTCTGTTCGATGAAGCTGGCATCGTACTCAAAATAGTATCGCACGTGATACAGCTTGACTCAGGTGGTCATTTGCGATCTTATTCTGCAGGCTTTTGAATCTAAGCCAGTTTGCAGGCGAAACTGTAGGCCATTCCGTTTCCTCCCTTTCCCGTCCCTCCCCCCCCCCCCCCCTGAAACTGAAACGTTTTCGAGATGAAGGAGGGAGAAGTAAGGCAGCCACACAAGGCCCATTGTTGAGTACAGGAGCGGCAGGCACGGACGGTCCTCGCGGCTGCCATCTTGGGATTGGAGAAGCACTCCTTCTCCCATCTGATTCTATTGCGGAATTCTGTTCGATAAAGCTGGCATCGTACTCAAAATAGTATCGCACGTGATACAGCTTGACTCAGGTGGTCATTTGTGATCTTATTCTGCAGGCTTTTGAATCTAAGCCAGTTTGCAGGCGAAACTGTAGGCCATTCCGTTGGTCTCTCTACTTAGATTGTTTGCATTACTTTGCATTATCAGATGTCTCCTTCACCTCAACCTTGGGGAAATGCAATGCGCCTGACCCTTGGAAAGGCTTAACACCTCATCTACAATACATTCTAGCCTGAAACACAATTTTCTTTTTGTTTTCATTTGGAACTATCGCCTATGAGTAAAGGCGATAGTCCAATCTCACTTCACAGGGTAGACTTGTCTTCTTTGTCATTTTAAAATTTATTCCAATGAGCACCTTGAAAATTGCTTGAAAAGTGCCATTACTTTTGTTTTGTTATTGAACATTTTTTTCGCGAAACGCAAATTTTCACAAAAGGCGCCACGGCGTCTCGGGAAACGGAGAGATGCGCAAATTTTTTGGCTCGTAATTTAACATGTTCTGTGACGAGGAAAATGGCGCAAATTTGACGTTTCTGCAACCAAGGGTTGGGGAGGTACAGATTTTCAAAGAGAGGCATGCAAATCGTGACCTTTGACCATTAGCCACGATCAGGTGCTTGACCTGAGAGTGCCAAAAAGTGGTTTCAAGGCCCTCCCTTGGGGTCCTCTACAATAATTATAAGCCAGAATTTGATTCTAGGGGGGTCGATTTTCATCTTCCCTTAGTACCTTACGAGGGTTAGGCCTAACCTGAAATTAAGGAACGCTCGACCTCGACACGTAATATCGAAATGGGTGAAATCGCCTCTTGAAATCACTATCTTGAATCTTGAATTTTATCGAATGATAACCTTTGGAAAAATCTTACGCTGCCTTAGTTTTATGACTTATGAGATCGAGCATCCACCGCTTAAATTCACAGATGTTCGTCTGAATACGCTTACTAGAAAGTACCAGCCCAGCTATAGATCTGGCATGCCACTGGTCCCTCTACCACTGGAATTATTATATATATTCACCACATCCTAACCATTCAACCTTGAAATAAATAATATCTGTCATTGCGCCATTGGTTCGGCGTAGGCCTATATGAAAAGGCCTGGACAACTAGACATGTTTTCGATGGTTGCGAGTCCACTGTATGAAATGGAGGATGCCAGATACGGCATTTCATGCTTACGCCTAGCAACCCAATCTCCTCTATTGTCTACTATGGATCCTTAGGGCGGAAGAGAAGTAGATGTGGAAGATGGGCACCCCGACCCAGGCGGAAAGCTACGCGTGCGCATTGGGTTGTGTTGTCCGTCGCTTTGGTTACTGCGGACAGACGAAATGAAAAAATAAAGTGACAGACCTACCGCAATAGCCGGCATTTCCTCGTAATGCCTTCGGGAATACTGGATAAAACTATCCGAATCCGATAAGCACCTATGTCACCCCATCTACGCCTATGAAATCAATTAGACTTAGCTGACTGCTGGCTTCCCGAACCCTGCACTGGCAGACGACTATCATACAAGGCAGAGGCAATGGACGAGCGGCGTGCTAGGCAGCTAGAGCGACTGGTGACTCCTTATCAAACAAAAGTGACGTCAAAGACCTTGCGACCACTCCGAGGAAATCATGGATCCCGGCTCCACTTGGTGGCCACGTGGACTGCTGCTTTACCAGATAAGAGATAAGGGGGCTCATTGCGTCCAAATTTTCACATGTCGAGCCCCTATCCGCAAGACACACAGTTCATGCCCTATAAGTGCAAGCCTGAGAAGCTGTCTCCAATTCCCAGATGAGTCGAGACACGAAAAGATATGTCGCCGTACCCACATCACAGACTCAGGCCCTTATGACTTCCAGTGGAAGTGGAAGCGACACCGAAACCGATGTCTTCGATGCCAGCTACAAGAATGGAGGTGAGTAGGTCAACCCATGAGAAGAGTAACTTTTTCATTAGATAGGTATAGCCTACCATCGGATCTCATTAGATTATAAGCGTATTGCCAAAGTAGGCATTGTCTATGAGCCTGTTTTATATTCATCAGTCGTTTTTTGAAGAACACACCAATTCCTTACACTGTAGAGTTAATGTCTTAATGATATTTAGACTTTATCTTAAAGTATCTTAAGATAAGGTATGTCTACACCCACTAAGAAAGCTGGCACCTCGAGCAGATGTTGCATTCTGGGATGAAACTGACCCATCAGTTCACATCCAGCCTGTTGTGATGCAAAGTAGAGAGTTAGAGCTTCAATATGGCACTTCCTATTTAATACTGTTAGATACAACAGAGATTGGACCACCATGAAATTATTGTTTAAAAGATGAACTAATTCAACTCCCTTTTATACACTTTTGCGATGTAGGGCATAGGTGCCAAACCCAGGGGGGCAAAGGGGCACATCCCCCCCAACTATATTATTGAGGGGGCAACATCCCACCAAGAATGACTAAATTTCAACAAAAGTATAGCCCATAGAGAACTGAAAAAAATGCTGCTTCACGAAAAAATTTAAAATATGATTTTCCTCTGTTTTGAGCCCTAACTAGGGGAGATCCCTGTGTCGCCCTGTAAGGGTAAGGGATGGAAGGGCCCTGGGAAGGGCCATGCCCAGCAACCTCCCCCATGCTCGTCACTATGCTACCATAATAATACTGAGCTACCCCAATGGACCCTGGAATAATTGCATCATTGTTATTTCAGGGGCATTAGGAACTTGCCCCCCCAATATTTTTTAAAAGTCAGTGTCTATGATGCAGGGTTATTGTCAGCAAGAATTTCAGAGTGTTTGAAGCTATAAAAAATTTTGTCTGACTTTTTTCCAAGGAGAGACTAATGGCATAATGTAAAAAGGATTTATCTAGAATGAGAGGGAATGGTGATGTGCTCTGGGAGGTGTGGTATAGCAGGAAGGTAGCATTAATTTCAATACAATCCAAAAGACCAAAGTTTATGAAGTGTACCATGTAAGTTTAACTTGAACCAATTTGATTTCAGTATAACCATGTATTGTAATCTGTTATAGTATTCTTCTTCATGTAGAAAACTATAATATCATAATTTGATGTGATTGGTGTTATTAAGTGCGTTAAGATTGTACACCCTCTCTTCCCTCCACCTGACTTGTAAAATCACTTGTAATCCCTCCATTGTAGACAATGCTTGAAAAAAAAAAGACTTCAAATGGGGGTGAAGGGAGGGAAGTCACTTTTGTATCTGTCCCGTCCAAATTGATACTGTGCTATTGTTTGTTTTCATCTCAAATCAGTATTCATGTAAAACCTTTATATCATTTAAGGGGTACTGGGGTGCCATTCCAGTTCTAAAATATTTGTGTAATGGCTGTGTAAAATATCAGTCTTGCTAGTATACTACCCCACCCATTTTCAATTACTCCTTACAGATGTCTTTTTTCTCTGCTTTCTATTTCTGCATTGTAAGAATCATGGTATCACTTTTCTGAATTATTTTTTTCCTGTCATGAAACACCTTTCTTCAACTCTTGAACTCCTTACCTCAATAACCTGTTATGAGGAGATTGACTTTAGCCAATTCCCTTACCATTAGTTTTTTATCTGTAGGTCAACTTAAGTTGTGGTGACCTCTACAGTGTGTCAAAAAGTACTGGTACTCCCACTTTCTACAAGAGTAGCAATGGAGAGAAAACTGACTTTGTTTACAGAAAACATTCATTGCTACATCCTAGTATCAAAATTTAGTTATGTGTGTGATTCCATTCAACCTGAACAGCAGGTTGTAATTAAGAGTAAAAGTACAAAGGTTCTTTAAATGACACATGTCATCATGAATGAATGATGTAGTGTTGTTCCCAAATGCTAAAGGTCACTTTGGTTGTGCCAAGGGTCATGCATCATAAGGTCTTCAGTGTGATATTTGGTTACAAACCCTAAGTGGTTGTATAGAGAGTTGGGAGACCATTCACTGTTGTAAGAGAAATACAAACAACACTTCCATCCCACCATGCTGCATTGGAATCTTACTTTGACAACTCGGCAACTTATGTGGATCCATTGAAAAGAGAAGGCACCAGGATGGTGATTATTTTAGGGAGGGTATTCTACTTTAACATTAAATTTCCTTTAAGAAGGTAGAGGAAAATTTTGGAATTAGAGGTGACACTTATGCACAATATGGATCCCTGTTTTCAGGCATGAGCCACTCAGAATCTATAGCATGCCAATGTAGTTGATTTGTTTGACAGTAATGAATGGTCATCTAACTCCAGACTTGAGCACATTTGAACAACAAAGGTCTATAGTCATATATAGTCTTGAAAACCGTGCAAGCCCAAGCATAATCAAACTAATCCATAGATCTTGCTACAGCATTTGGTAATGATGCAATATGTTGCTGATAGTTTCTTGCTCTTTAAAGGTCTTTTATTTTTATATCGTTTCTTGCTCTTTAAAGGTCTTTTATTTTTATATCCCTCTTGACTTCCAGTCAAGTTAAGGCTGATGGCAGCCACAAACATTATTGTAAACAACAAATATATTTTCTTTAAGTAAAGTTCATCATTTCCCAAGTATCCCTTTTCATGATATGTGGGGGGTTACTAAGGTTTTTTGACACTTGTATGGTTGAGTGTGAGGGTTCCTGTGACTTAAAAAAAAAATGGCTTTTGCATTTTATGTTAGTTTTTTCTCCCTATTTCTTCTTCCATGTCATTTTACCTCAGGTAGTTTTCCTTTTCTGGTAAAAGCAATCTCTTGATCATTTTTTATCAGTATTATTTGATATGTTATTACATATGACAATGCAACCAGTTGCCACAATCTGATCCATGTGATTCAATTTCATGTTATGGGATTGAAAGACTGGAGCTTCCATCTGCCCCTTCTTTTTTTGGATGATGATAGGCTCCTTCCATCTTCTCCATAGGAGAAGGAGTTCAGTTACCCTTGTTCAAACCAACCCATCTAAAAAGCAATATGATTGAAAACTGAGCTGACCCAAATGTAGAATGAAGTAATAAGGCATCCATGCAAGCTTTTGGGAAGATCCAGTTATCATAGCCACAGTCCCATAGAACTGAAAAAGGCTTTTTGTTTCATTTTAATTGGTCATTGGAACTGTTATTTAGGTGTTGATAGAAGGCTGCATGCTCAGAGGTGACTCAATTGGTCAGTTCCTCCTTGGATGATCATTAGCTTTTTATAGGCCTTTCCTTCATTTCCACTAAAGCATTTTTAATGAAATAATTATCTATTTCTATGTGCATTTGGCTTTAACATTGGGAAGAAAATAGAGCATGAAAATATAAGCTGATAAGATAATTGAAGAAAAGATACGCCAAACTTTAAGGACTTTAAGGACTTTAAGGCCAAAAGGAAGATTTCCTTCATAATCCTAGCAAGGAAGATTTCATTCAAAAGCCAAGTATATCATTCTTGGCAAGGAGAAGCTAGAACTTTTAACCCTTTCCATTAAATTTTTTCCACAATGCTACAACCAATGGCAAGCCCAGCTCAACAAACTAGTGGAAAGGGTTAAACTTTGGTATTGATGGAAGGAAATAAAGTTCTGTTTTATTCACCTGGGAAACGTTGCATATGGCACCATTGTGTTATCAATATTGCATTGTTTGCTTGTTTTAGATTTGTGGTCCTACTTGTTTCAGGTTTCAGGAGCTGGAGAACAAGTACTGAAACTCTTGTCAAAAGGCCAACCATGAAGCGACATATGAATGCATGCCAATGCTTCTGCTTTGGTCTCACAATGCTCTTTCTTGGTGTTGTCCTGGGAACTGTATTTTGGCTTCCTGCCACTGCGTATGGGAAGTATTTGAATTATCGCAAGCTTCTCCAAGGGTGGCCAAGAGAGACATGGACAGAAGAGTTCCTTGGGTCCAGTAAGTTACCTCATGCAGTTCTTACCTGGTTTTTTGTGTGGGTTGATAACCAAAAAGAATATAAACTTAAACAAGCCCTCTCTCTTTGTAGTTGAGACAGATCTCCAGTTGGTGAATGTGACAGAAGGGGAGCAGTACCTGGTCTTTGGCTTTCAGTACATGAATGGAAGCATAAGTGAGGGATATGGAATACCTGAATACGTGTATGGGGGTCTGGTGGCATTTGACCAAGGTGGTAATCACATGTGGGACAAGAAGCTTAATGGCATTCCTCAGAGTCTCATCTGTGAGGGGATTGATATTGATGGAAATGGAGTGAATGACTGCATTGTTGCTGGTAGCAATGGAACTTTGCTTGTTGTCAATGGAGAAACAGGTGAGAAGACGTCAGTGGAGGACTCTATTTTTGATTGGGCCTTGTATATGGAGTGAGCTCATTTAATGTTTCACCCTTGCAGGTGATATGCTTTGGGAAATGAAAGACATCCTGCCAGGAAATCTCTCTACAGCCATGCTTGTTCCAGACTTAAATGGAGATGGGAAGCAAGAATTAGTGATGATCTTCAATGAAGATTTACCAGATCTTCCTCATGTTGAACGGTCAGCCATTGTGATTGCTGATCCAAATACAGGAAGCCTTCTGGGGCAAGGACCCATGCTTCTCTCTGGCTGTGCTCATCTATCCTCTCTTGAAATGAATGGGAATGATTCCATTCTCACTACCTGCACTGATTTCACAAAAACTGGTCAGTATGATTCTAGCACTGTGAAACAAAATATTTTGTATGGTATTTTCCTTTCCTTCCTGGAAACCCGTTTAAAAGTTTTTATCTTCAATTTATGTTGTACATTCTCATTAGAGCATCCACAACATAAATTCTTGATCACATGTGAGTCAATATTTTTCACCTGAAAGTGTTTTCTCCCCTTGATAGGACAAACTTTCCTCCACTCGATCTCATTTCCTGGATGACGATCTATGTTTTTAAGACCTTGGCTCTGGTGAATGCCAAAACTTTTCCTGCTTGGTAAATTTTTTTTGTTGTGCCTGCTCTTTGACTTTGGCCAGAGCATTCTGTCTCACCTCATTCTGGTATTTATGGAAGCACTGTGCAACTTAGTTCTTGCTCTCAAGATTAGTGTTTTATCTCCCTGAGGAATTTTAAAATAATGTTCCCAATCAAACACATTGTCTAACATGAACAAGAATTTATATTCTTGGAGAGTTATATGGCAAAGTCAGAGTTGTTTTGCTTTATGCAGATACACCAGGTGGCCCAAAATAAAGTTCAGAAATTTGCACACCTGCAGACAGTGTACCATATGAGTTATTGAAAGGAAATTTACTGGCTTCAATGTAATTGTAACAAAAATGCCATTGAAATTGGTTGTAAACTATGTGAGTAACAATTTTTCTCCAGCATGGTGTCAAAAGAGTGAGTGTGCAAAGAAACGCACCTGAACTCAACGAAAGAACTGCTTGATGGGTCCTTCATGGATGTCTCCTCCTTGGATCACCCACCAGCAAACACACTGACACTTGCTCATTTGATGACTTGTAGAGCTCTTACTCATGTTCAGAGCTAGGAGTTTCATTTAAATTTTCCTAAAACCTATATTGGGTATGACACAGTGAAAATTTCAAGACGATGCTAAGCAAGGTGTCCCATCTGCTGCTGTATTCATTTTGAACTTTTTTTTGAGCCACCCAGTATTTACCATCCTTTGCCATAACCTGACACTATCCACTCACCAGTTTCCTCATTTATGTCTCAGCATTAGAGATCTAAGTTTTTAAAATCTGAATTTCATTGTATCCCATTCCTAGGCTATGCTTGTGGGGAAGAGTTAAGAACAGACCTGTCAAACTGTGACCACATATTCATATTATGCAATTTGTATTTTCCTATTTTGAACCATCCTTAGGCTATTGTAAAGATTGTTCATCTTAATCGTTTGTATTTGGTATTTTAAAAAAAACTTTGAATGAAGTTTATTGCCTTAAACCATCTCACATTTCTCCAGCATTCTTAAACTGGCTCACTCTGGCCCTGGCCTTCAGGCATCAGTGGGTTTTTTATATTTATGATTTATTTATTATAAAAGTCATGTCTTGGAGCAAAAGTCTTAAATCAAGTATAATTTTTGTTTGTGTCTATTGCTACGTTGGGTCATGTCCATTTGTAGAGAAGCAGAAGTAAGGATTATAGCTAAGCCGCACAAATGTGTTACCAAGTTTGTTCATTTACACAAAATTTTAATTCATTTACTTCTAATCTGCTTGATCTGTCAAGTAATTGATTCATCGCATTTTCCTTTCCCAAATCAGGTGTTATAATCATGAAATCAATGGAGCAGTGTCCTGTGAAATTATTGAAATTAGCACTATAAAACTTTGTTCCAGATCACGTGGTTCGGATATCTCTGTCCACTATGGCTTCTGAACTGGAGGCAGGGAAAAGGAGTTTGACCTTTAAAACTGATACAGGCCTTGTGTCATCAGATTCCATGGGTTTGATTGAGGGAAAGAACCTTCTGTTGACTTGGGAAGCAGAGGATTCTCTCATCTTCTCCCTCAAGCCAAATCTCACATATTTCTTTCAACACCAGGGGTCATTATGGGAGAAGGAGGTCTCACATGGTCAAGTTCTCTATGCCTTCCCCATGCCTTGCCATGGTCCCAGTTGCAATGCAGATGCTTTCTTCATCAAATACCTTACATGGACTGCAAGAAGGAAACGGCAGGTGCAAACATTTGATCCTAGTTTGAATGCCGAGTCTGAAATGAGCAACAAAATGCAGTTTCCTAATGACTTTGACAAGTATCTGGCTACATACAAACCGAGAGAATATGACCTGCCCCAAAGTTGGCCCCCAGGCATCAAACATGTGCCTTCCAATGTTGAGAAGCTTCCTCAACTATCAAATTATTTTAATCCAGACAATCACAATGATAATGACAGATTATCCCTTGATGAGCATGAAGGGCCTAAATCTCCTCCCAATTATCCATTTGTCTTGGATAGAAATCCATTGAACCCAGAAGGAGAAAAAGAAATGCCATTCCCTACAGAGGTGAAGCTGACACAAAGAACAATGACATCGACCTCATCATCAAGCGAAGGTATCCAAAGCTCAACCTCGAGGCCATCTTCCCCTGCTTCAACCCAAATCCCAGTGACAACAGATGGAATGAAGGAGATGACAACCCTGCATCATTCCCTTGCCCATGATGAACAGGTTTTGACTGAGCTGCCTGAGAAATTGTCAAGAGGATATGAAGTCCAGGAGGTGAAGGAAGCCCTTCTGTATGTGTCCAAAGTAGAGGGATATGAAGCTGAGGAGCATTCTCTAGATGAAAAGACCATTCATCGCTTCTGCCTGAAAGAGCAGTGCTTCCCCTCTTCTACAGTTTGCCGCACAGGTAACGTGCCATCATTGATTATCATACATGTGGATACATTTCTTCTGCTCACAATGCATGAAGTAAATGGTTTGCTTTCAGTATTGTATGGGGAGAAATGGACAGTGGTGAATGCAGTGGCATCAGTGAAGACCTTGGAGGATGGGACATTCCGACTCATCACTCTCCTCTCCCGTTCCCCTCTTGCATGGACATAACTCATCTAACCTGTCAACCTTTCCTCACCAATTCTTTTCTTCCCATTCTCTCACTCCATGGTGGAGGGTCCCTCCCACGTTCAATCGTGGATGCTCAAAATGTCTTTTTTTATTACATTCCTGTCTTGTGAATTTAAAGAACAAATATGATCTTGCTTGGTGCTCAATATTGGCTGTGCCTTATGAATTTCTCTATGATACATTTCAATTATTGGTTGTGATTTGATCAAATGAACCAAAGAACGATTGAGAAGTGCAAGTTTAAGAACAATTTTACAGCATTATGCTATGTTGAAGTTGTGTGAGCTTTAATAAATCTTAAGCAATTGCACCAGCTCAGTGATGATACCTGAGGCCAGTAAAGTCAATTTTAACTTACAGCATGATGTGATAGTGATCCTAGAGTACCAGTACCTGCCCCATGGATTATTTATCCCACATGTATCCCATGGTCACAGAATGACAATAAATGCAACTTTTTGCACTTCTGCATTCCCTACAGTGTATTCCTTGTTGCCAATGCTCCAAGTGGTTCATAGATGGGAAAAATATAAATCCCTTGGCACTTTTTCTTCTTTTTATTCTCTTGAGTCCTTTGTAATCTCATTTCAATGTCCTTTTTTCATGCTCATGCAGGACTATTGTTCTTTAATCCCTGGTGTACTTAGAAATTGTCAAGCTTCTTATTCTCTAGAACCATAGTGTTAGCAGGATTTTAGAAAGGGAAGGGATCTCAACATTAAGGCAGTCAAATGACTCTTGGTAGGGGAAGGGTTGAGCCCCTTGTGTGCTTTGAGTAATTAGAAGGAGATTAACCTTTCTTTTGCTGGAAGCCTTAAGAAAACCAACCAAGTCTGGAAGTATCTCGTTTATCCTCGGATTGAGATTCATAAAGGGCGTCCGCTAAATTCGGTGCGCTAGGTTGCCATTGCTTGCTGCCTTGGTCGAGGATCCAGTTGGGAATCTTGCTATGTATCTAAAGGCTAAAGGTGTGCTGGGGTAGTGGAGTGACGGAGCACACCTTAAACATGTCCCCCAGTCACATTCTGATAGTTACCGGATTTTCGTGAGTCTAACATTTATTCTCCCATATCTTGCTTCAGAACTGATCAATTTGCATGCGGCTTTTAGTATAAGGGAGTTTAATCTTTCTTCCGTGCAACCGCTTTTTTTTTACATTTTGCAAAATTTAATTAGTCGAATTTAGCAGCATCAACTTTTCTTGTGGCAACTTGTACCTTTTAATTATTGGTTTCGAATGAGGAGTACGCCCTAGCCCAACAGGTAGATTTTCGTTCAGTAAATGAAACTTAGACAGGATACGAAGTGGGAAAGTTGGCGTCTGGTACACCATCACACGTGAACCTGTATGGAATTGCCAGAGTCTACGATTGCAATGAGAATCGAATCACGCTTCATTTTTTCTTGACGATTGTGGGGTCCCTTGCCTACCTAAGGCCAAAATGACAATATATTTCAGTTCAGTCAAACTTTCACTATTTCCTCATTCCCAAATTGAAATTCCCCGGGTCGACCACCTATTTGTGCATGAGTACCCATGCACAACTGCTTCGTGAAGGAGTCCATGAGAAAAGAAAAGAGATGCTCTGGTTGGATGAGGGCGCAAACACGAAACAATGGTTTCGAACAATCCAAAAGACCTGAGAAAAGAGAAAAGTGTGTGGAAGAAACAGGTGGGAGTAGAGAGATCCGCCGCCGTTCCCACAGCACCATCACGTCGCTGTCGTCTTTCGGCCGCACGATTCCACGGGAAGACGGATGGAACGTCAGACGTGAGCGTGTTCTGCGGCTGCCGTCACGCCTCATTCTGCATATACACGTGTGACAATTTGATTAAGAACTTCGCCTGAGTGTCAGCCGGGGGAGATGTCTCTCTTCCCCTTCCTATAAAAGGCCGCCCTTGCGTCAATTCAGGAGAAGTTTGCGCAATCGGGCCCATTGTGCTGCCTCCCTTCGACCTTCGTCATTGTCATCATGAACCCAGTCACGGTGCACATAAATATTTTTGTGTCTCATAATTTACATGGTGTAATGCAGACAGGGTTAATAAACATGCTTGAGAAGCTTCAATAAGTCTCACCCCCAACTCGAGGAGGAATTCGGCCGACCCATGCTCTTGATGATGGGTAATTTCCTTTAAGACAGGCACCACAAAGGACCGCTGTCAAACTGACTAGGGAAAACAAATAAATTTTCTGCCCTATATCGTCAGAACTAGCCTGGTAAACGAGGGAGTCGATCGATTTTCATCCGAGCTTCACTCGGCTCACTCTAGATGTCTCTGAAGGGGGATAAGACTTCATCCACATTTTCTCGCTTATTGGCAAGAGAGCTGGCGGAATGGAGCCGGCCCGTCTTCATTCACACCTCCACGCGCCTTCCCCACCTTCCACGCCCCAGCTAAAAATAATCTGAACGATGACGTTGAAGTTGAAAGAGAAAGCGATCGGACTAAAGGCCACCGTGTGGGGTCGACGCTGCACGAGAGTAATCACACCTGCCTGTCCAGATCGTGGTGGGAACGGAGGCGCGGGACAACGTAGATTCCATATATTTTATTTACCTTGACGTGGGGGGTTCTCCCGCTCTGTCCTCTCTTCCGGTCTTCTCTCCATTCCGAGAGAATCGAAATCGAAGAGACAATGAGCTGCGAATGAATGCTCCCAGGGGCCGACAATGCGAAAATGTCGACAGAGAAACGTTCCATTCCTTTCTCCGTCGTAATTTTCTGTTCTCGTTACCGTTAGACATCGGTGTTCGTACGGCTCTCCTCTGTCTTCTGTTGCTTTTTTTTCCCGCGAACTTCTACCGAACGAGAAGAAAAGCAATTAACCTTTATCGTACGAATTTAAATCTCCCGCATAAACGCTGGCAGTCGGATTTTTTTCTCCGAAGCTCCTGAACATTCGCTAGCAATTGTCCTAAAAATACAGTTGATATTGAAGTAATTATTGACGGAGTATCAGAACATTTTCCCAAAAAGTTACAGTATAGCATTTGTATCTATAAGTCATGGAAAAGGGCATTCTGTGGCACAAAAGTGACCTTTCGGCAGATAAAGGTTAAAGAGCGCCACGTACCGATCCCAGTCGGATGTTGAAATAAATTTCACGTCGATTCGTAGTGACATCGCGGGTCTGTTCCTCGCCTCTGCTAAACTTAATCTAAAGCTGTCTAAAAGCAAAAAGCCTCTTCTTCGCCCAGACTCTTGCTAAAACTTCGTTTAAAAGAAGGAACATTTTTAGACAGGTCCGACCCAGTCTGAATTTCGTCTAAATGTTGGGTTGATAGGAGAAAACTCGGATTGTTCGTTCGATGGGAGTATAGGAGTCCAAGATCATTTCATGCAAATGTCATCCCATTCTGATGGGTAATTCCGGTTTTGTCCCCACCTTCCCAATACCCTGTGTACACGTGCGTTAATTTCGCACTGGGATTTAGATTTAGATTTAGATTTAGATCACTACTTGAAATATTTTCCTTCGGGGCAACCTGAGTGCGAAAGAGAGGATGCTCGAAAGCCTCCAGACATGGACCAGATGGAGGATGCAATCCTCGGGGAGTGGACCGGCGGCATCGTTGCCCTTACACTCTTGGATCCTGGTGGCCGTGTGCGCATTAGCATCTGTGATGATTCTAGATGGGATTTCGGTACGTTCCTTGTGGGTGGAATCCATCAAAGCACCATGAAAGCCTTTATTCTGCCTCCTTAACCTGATAAAGAAAATCCTGACCTGAGCTTTCATTTCCCCCTAAATATGTGTCTTCCTTGTCTCTTACTTGTGAGCCGTAAAATAAAAATTTTCTGGGTTACTTATGAGCCACTCTGTGTTTATAAATCTATGCTGTACGACTCCTTTTATGATCATGATGAGATGATTTGGAGGCATTCCCTCCAGAGTCCTACCTTTTTTTAAAAAGCTCAATTGGATTTCGTGTGATTTTCTCCTATGCCAACAATGCATAGGAATGTCAGACTTGGGTATGCTACGCCTGTCTCACGCGTTCAGGTAACATTATGCGTCATTTGTTCTATTACAAGTCCCGACCCTTACCTGACGATGAACACTTCCAAGAGCCTAACGAGTTCCAACTTCCTGAGGGAAGCAGGTACGAGCGCTCGCAGATCATGTCTTCCACATTCTCGTCGAAAGAAAGTCGAATACGCCTTACGCTTATGCTCCAAGGGAAGTCGAAGACGCCTTTTGCTCTTGGGGTGAAGACGGACCATAGACCCAAGGATAAGCTGTGGTAGCCATTCTTTCATATATTTTTAAAATCAATCTCTAAACGATCCAGGTTGAGCAACGCAGTTGGTTCCGCTCCGAACTTGCCCCGAGAAAGGACAGAGCTTGTTTTGATTCCCCAACAGCATCGAAAGACTCATTCGGAGGCTCTTGGATTCAGGCCAAGCTTTACTCTCGCCAGCGAAGAATGTGAGTGGGAACGACGTTCCCATACTTCCTGCCGCAATTTTGACAAAATTGTTGCCGAAGCAGACACCTGGAACTAATAGCAATCTACTCTAAATGTATATTTAAAATAATATTTAAAATACCTGCCGAAAGGCTCAATTGAAGGTGCGGCAGCCCGGGGGGTTTCGACGCATGACACCCTCGTGTATATCGTTCCCATACTTTTAGAAAATTGAATTTCATCACTAAATCTCAACGTCAATATCCTTCAGTCCTGACCACACCTGATTGAGATTCCTGGTTAAAGGAAAACAAAATACTGGCCTAGTTTAGGCTTAAATGGCCTTAGGATCAAGTTGCGATATCGGCTTTCCGTTTAATGTTATCTAACAGGTCAGGGGGAACCTAATTGGTAGACTGAACGGAGAAGTTGCGCCACCAGCTTTGGTCTAGCTCGGGGCCAGTCGGCCTCGTCAATATCTCGTGCGTCGTAGTCATCGATACGTTGCCTTGACAAATATAGGCGAGTCATCTGGTGGCGGGAGAGAGAATTCAACTCGCTATTTCCTGGAATAGGGGGAGCGATCTCCTTGCTCGTGCCCTTTAAGTCACCAGCTTTCTGAGCTCACCTCGAGTCGCCGTCGTACCAGTCAAAATGAAAGAAATGAGACAGAGTTTGAAGTCATTATAGGGATATTGGGTAT